CTTTAGCGGCTTTACAGGCCGAGACTATTTTCTCTAACTTAACAGCCGGAAAATGCAATCTCATTGCTATGGAATTAATTATGAAACCCAAATAAAGGATCTCACTGATAGCAACTAGCTGAGATTTCTCAACATTGACAGTAAAGCCCAACTCACAAAGAGTTTGTTTTAAGACCTCAAGTTGCTGTAAACACTCATCATAAGAGCTTACAATAAGTATGGGATCATCAATGAAAATAATAAACCTGAAGCCAAGAAATCTAAAATATGCTATAACAGGCTTAAAAATCTTAGTGAAAACCCTGGGTGCAAGGCTGTACCCAAAAGGTAGGCAAGTAAACTCATAACGCTTGAAATTCCAAAGAAAACGTGAGTATTTACGATGGGGCTGGAAAATAGGTACACTGAAATAAGCATCCTTAAGGTCAATAGAGAGTATGAAGTCCCCAGGAGAAATACAATTCAAGGCCAAGCGGTTATTCGCCACCTTAAAATGAATCTTTTGGACAAATTGATTTAAGGGCTTAAGGTTTATAACTAGCCGAAAGTCCCCGGTCTTCTTGGGAACCAAACAGACTGTAGAAATGAATTCTTTATCACAACGAGACACTTAGTCACAGCGCCCTTGGAAATTAGCTTTTTAATCTCTGACTCAATTAAAGCAGTTTCCCTTTCACTAAATTTAGGAAACTTTGGAAGATTGACTTGATGAGGGGTTATCTCAAATTCAAGGTGATAACCTGAGACAGTTTATAAGATCCATGGATCACTAGTAAACTCCCTCCATTTGGGTAAATTCCTAGATAAACTACCAGCCTGTAACAAACTAGGTACAGAGTGTACATTTACCTTGTTTACACTTTGTCCTTCTGTGGCTTGGTGCTGGTTATTGGAACTGATCGTCCTCCTAATTGTTGCCGGTCGTGAAAGTAACTTCCAAGACTTCGGTAGCCTAAAAAAGTGGAGTTTCCGCCAGACCTCTGTGGGTATAGTTCCTGCTAGGTGCATCAGACCCTCTCTTGTAAGAACTGACCGTGTTCTTGATTGAAGTCGGACGGCCTTACACCTTCCTAGATATCTTATTGACCTCTCCGATCTCCTTAATATGGTTGGGCAATTCTTCCGCAAACAAACAAGTTGTAGTGGTGTTAGACTTGTTACAAACAGACTGATAAGGCTTAGCGATATCTGGTTTAAGAAGCTCTCTTCGTTTAACCCTATTCAGACTGGGCTTTTTTGGTCAATCTGTGACTGGGGGGGCTCCTCGGACCCCCCCCCTCTTTATCTCTGGAACCAATAATGCTAGGGTCATGAAATTTACACACAATGATCATCTCCGTACAAAGAAGCCCCACCCAGTTTTGACTTGCCACGCCCAATGATGACATCACAGTAACGTCATATTCCGATTTTTCAGTGTTTCTTATTATTTTTCCACTTAGATACGTAAAATATCAATAATTTTGGTAAAGTCATCTCTTTGTTATCCTTTCTTATGAACTAGTAACAAGGAAACACTTGTACAGCGAGAAAAAGCAATAGGAAGCAATAAAATTTAAAATTTGAAATGGTTGTCCGCCATCTTGGATCCGCCATCTTGGATTTCCGTTTTTTTGTTAAAATTATAATTTAAAGCAACTTTCAAAGGGGAAAAAGCTCAGAATGTATAAACGAAGTATCAAACTAATGTTTATTACCCAAACAAATGACTTTGGAAGTGTTATTTGGAAAATAGAGCAGCACATTTGTCAAAGAAAAAAAGTGACAGATTTTACCCCACCCCTCCCCCCCAAATATTCGATGTTGAGACATTTTGATGTAATTCAAAAACTAGTCCCAAGCAAAGACCATTTTAACAACAAAAAGCACTATAAGTGTAAAAACGCGATCTTAAAACAAAAAAATTCACCATTTTTTAAATTTCCCAAAACCTATGTGTCAGAAACTGGTTGCCATGGCAACATGATTAATCACATGGACATGGTAATTATGCCAAAATGTTCCTAGATAAATTTTAGGAAAAGTCAGAAAATTTGAACGTCATAGCTCTTTCGGTGTAGGAGTTATCACGATTTTGCCGGAGGGGGGGTTCGAAAAGCCCCCCACCCCTCAGTCTGAATAGGGTTAAGAGATGTAAGAAATGAGGCATGCCCCAGAAAGGTAACAGCCTCTGCAAATAAAGGTAGCAAAACATTGGGTTCCATTGAAAACTTGTCTTTACGAGCTCCTAGAAGTGCCGAATCAAACAACTGTATTATAGGCTATGATGCCTTGACAATACCTTTCTGGAGCTCTTGAAGACCGAAGTCCTTGGATTTAGACTCCTTAGACAAATCGTGCCACAAATCTAAATTGACTTTAGGCACACACAAGTATTTACAATTAGCAGGAGTCTTATACTTCTCGTACAGATCCTTTAACTTGGAATCCATTGCTCTTTTTGAGCATGCGTCATTGACACGTTGAGCAATGACCTCAGCCACTTCAGGCCCAAAACTTTCGGTTTCCTCGAACACCGAAGGGAGCTTAAACTTCTCCTCGTGAGGCTTATTAGTCGATGCGACTTCGTGTAAACTACTGCGGCCGAGGGGTCAAAAACCCCTTCGGCGGTTTCTGAAGAGGACTTTGAATTTTGAGCCTCTGAACCAAAGTACTCAGTCCTAGTTTTCTCGCTACAGAACTTCGCAGCAAGGTCGTTGAACTTTTCAAGAATACTGTCGATTCCGAGCTGTTTCTTCAACTCATCCAAATCAAAGTCCACTTGGTCTGTGTCGTCGACCTCAGCCGCGTCATGAACTTCACTCGCAATCACCACATTGGGTTCCAAAGGTGCAGTGTTAGCGCTGGCTGGCGAAGCCATCACCACCACAAGCGAAACTCTTGCTGTCGACAGTCGAGCGCCAAATAACCGACGGAAGCTAAAAGAAAGAGTAAAGCGACGAAAAGAACAAATGCAAGTAAACGAACAAGGAACACCCCTTGAAAAAGCGAAACCAAACCAAGGAACGTAAAATAGATAAATACAAACAAACTCACTGACCTTGTAAAGCACGAAAGGGAATACTGGTTATGACGCCGCCTCCTGGAGTTTATATCACTGCTAATTTGCATTTGAAAAACTTCTTTAAACGTGACCGCTGACCAGTAGGTAGGTAGGAAGTATGCATAATTATCCAATAATACGAAGCATATCGAACAAGAATCGCCGAAAGGCGATTTTTAACTGGGCTGCAAAGGGGCTATTTTTTCTGAAGAGAGGGGGCGGCTATACACACTCAGGCTACCATAAAACCTTGTCGGAAACCATTGCATGCGACAGAACCTCATGTGAGACTGAAACATAAACTCATTCAGAACATTGTACCCTTTTGAAAGACTTTCGCAACCAAAAAAAGAGTACCATTTTTAAGTGGGGGCTGTATAATAAATTCCACCATTATGAATAAAAATAAACAAGTTAGCCATTAATTCTAAGCATGAAACAATTTGCATTATTTCCACGTACCCCTCCCCC